GACTCCAGAAATCTGTGCAACACCGACGTCCTTCATGCTGGTGAGGATCGAGTCGGAAATAATTAGAAAATATTGAAGAATAAGTTCGACTTAGAAGCGATGCAGTGACTTTAAGGTGACGCAAAACTGAATCATTTAACATTTAAGTGGTATTTTTCAGACAGTAAGACAACACACCCCACACTTGTACTTAAAATACTTATTGTAAGATGATGCAGACGGATAATTTAAGCAGAATAATGTTCTGGTGGTGGTTGGTGGCAACGCAGTAAACTCCTACAAAGTGCTTCTTGAAACCTTCCTTCGCTGTGCACACATTCACAAACAATCATTCTCGTCGTTCAAAGTTGTCGGTCGCACATCAAGCAGGAGCGAAAACGTTTTCTGGTCTCGCTTGGCGGCGCTTTAGGGAAACGAGCCTTCATCGCAGACAGACAGCTGCTGTTTTGCCTGAATTGTTGCCTGACTGTAGAGGAAGAAAAAAAAAGCCACAGAATGACACGAGTCGTCCGCGGTTTGTGAGAAAAGCCGTGTTTAATTTGCAATCCGTAAAACTTGCAGTACATTAAGCAGACGTTACAGACAGTCCGACGCTTCTGTGTGTTGTGTCCAATTCCAACCCGCTCACCAAATCTGACCTCGTACACCCCAAACATACAGTTTTAATCTTAAATTACATAATTACACATCCGGTACAAAATGTAGACCTTTAAAAAAGTTAATAAAATATAATCTAGACATTTTTTCTCTCCCCCCCAAATAATGTCTCAGACACATCCTTCATATACTTAATTTTGGTAACAAGTGGTTGTTAGACGGTGACGTTAAGGGACAGGAGAGGTGAAGACAGACACGGTGAAGGCAACCAGTCAGGACCAAGGATTTACAACCAAAGAGCCGAAATAGTTCGTTCAAAAGGGAAGATTAAAGATAGAAATCTGATTTATGCTGATGCTCCTCTTGGAGTTTGGCTCCAGCAGATGGTGAAACAAATGTACGTTGCACACAGAACGTATTCAGAGTCCATTTTCTTCTCCTCATCAGTCGACACTCAACTCCCCATAACGACAAATTAGTTTAGCAAATTTAAAAAGGAAAAACATCACATAAGTGCTCAGACCCTTTGCCGTGACATTTGCTAGCTTTGTGGTAAAATTTAATTAATCTAGAGCTGTGCAGGGTTTATTTGTGTGCAAAGAGGAATTTTTGGTGCTCCCCACAGACGTTTTAGGCGCCTTCAAAGAAAATCCCCAACACCAAAACAAAGATCAAATAAAATATCTGCTCTGTAAATTCCTGTTTCATTTTTTCTCGCGTAACAGACATTTTTGTTAATCAGATTGTCACAGACTCACTTCCTCTCCTATGCAGATCGATCATACTTACTGTCGAGCTTCGTTAACGCCCCCATCCTGCTGCCTATAGAAGATCTCACAGCTGACAATACATGTGAAGCTGAAGGTGAAGGAACTGCCTACAGGACTGTGTGGAGGCACAAATCTGGGGAAGGCTACGAAAACATTCCTGCTGCATCGACAGTTTGCCAAGAGGACATTGATTTGTGTGGTTCTGAAATGGAAGAAGTTTCGAACACCTTCCTGAACCAGAAGGGCCTCGGTGAGAGGGGTGAACCCGATCACCGCTTCCTTGAGCTCCAAACATTCTTGGTGGAGACGGAAGAAGCTTTCAGGAGGACAAACCATCACTGCAGCACTTCACACTTGAAAACTGTCAAAAAATAATAAAAATAAAAAAGCACCAGAGACTTTGAGGCTGTGAAAAATAAGATTCTCTGGTTGGATTAAATCAAGACTCAACTGTCGAGAGGAAACCGGGCGTTACTTATCGCCTGCCCAGCACCATCTCAATGGTGAAGCACGGTGGTGGCATCATCATGTGGGAGACTAGTCAGGGATGAGACAAAGCTGAACAGGACAAAGGGATAAATGAAAGCCTGCTCCTGAAATGAAATCTTGATTGAAAACTGTTGAGAATTTTTTTTTAAAAAAGCACCAGAGACTTTGAGGCTGTGGTCGGATTAAATCAAGACTCAGAAAAGTCATGGCAAGAGGAAACCAGGCGTTGCTTATCTCCTGCCCAGCACCATCTCAATGGTGAAGCACGGTGGTGGCATCATCATGCAGACAGGGAGACTAGTCAGGGTTGAGAGAAGGCCTGCTCCTGAGCAAGGCTAGTGTCGCATCCAAGAAGATCACTGGGTTCCTTGTAGAGTTACGAGGTAAATGGTCTGAGTACTTGATGTCGATTCGATTTTTTCCCCTTTATAATAAATTAAATAATGTTGAAATTCCGTTCTTGCTTTGTCGTTATGAGGTCTTACCGTAGACTGATGGGGGAACAAAATGTGAACAAACCAAAGGGTCTGAACGCTCTGTACATTAAAAATGCTAATTCATTACAGATTATGTGATGAAGCATTAGTATTCATCACGTCCCTATGGCTGCAGTAAAAAAGAATAATTGTGCACACGCTGTGAATCCCGCTTTTCAATCCCAAATGAGAAAGCTGCTTCACATGGAGCTTTTGTATCCTGATAATGTCGGTGTTTTATCAGTAAGACTTCCATCTGGAGCGGCTCATACGAGAGAAAATGTTGTTAGTGAGGAAGCCATCATCACCGCTTTACGTTTGAGAAACTTAAAAAGCGAACAAAGCCGAGTCCCTTTATGCTCCATCTATTGGTTTCCAACCATTTAGTTTTCTCACAATTTGTAGATCAAACGTCTGAAAAGAAGCTCTTTGTCCAAATCAGCTCTGGTCGTGTAGAAAAAAAAAACGTTCTTTTAAAAAAGTGCATCAATAATATAATAGAATATTAAACTGATAATAAATGACAAAGCAAATGATTTACACTCTGGTAGCAGCTGATTTACAGTGCGCTGTTAGTACTTTTTGCAGTGTTTAAGAACAATCTTACACGTCTTAGCCCGTTATCTGTAAACCCTATACGCTGTTTCACATGAACTAAAAGGTGTTTCCTACCCTCCAAACTCTTTATCATATGTGTAATGGACTGAAAACATGCAAATCAAACCTCCCACCCCCCCAAGGGACCCCAAAAAATAAAAAAACTTCGGGGCAACAGATCACATTACAGCAGTATTTTCCCTCCAGTAATTCAACTCTGCATAGATTTAGTTTAAGACACACACGGGTAAGAACTTATAACAGTACTATGAAGTGGAGAGAGAGAGAAGATGTACTTTATTTCAAGTGATGACTCCGTCTGGGGGGCTCCGCCGGGCGCCGTTCTTACAGATCGGTCGAGGTCCTAGTGTTCAGCAGGCATTCTGGGCTGTCACAGAGGCACTTAGAACAGAAAACAGTACAGAGCCATTAGTCGCATGTCAAAGATGTAATCACTGTGACTGACGGGAAAAAGAATCACAAAAAGGCTTCGATGTAAATGGTGAGAGTTGAGAAGCGAGGCGTGCATTTACCGCAATTTAAAGTCTGGAGCTTATTCTGTAAGACTGTCAGCAGCAGAGAAGCTGTTCACGCTTTCACTGCAGCCTTTTGTCAGACATGTGATCTGTAGCGTTGTACATTCATCCATCTGTTAACGTGTCAGTCAGACAAACATCACTACATGTTCCTCTTGGCTTCACTCAGACGGACCCGTCACATCGAGGTATCGGCCGCTCATGTGAGACTGGACACGTCAAGTGATGTTTAATGATGTCTGACGAAAGGTACACAAGATCCTGATCGATCCTGTCTCCATGTCAGGGATGTTTTATAAGTACAGTCGTGACTCGATAATCCGACACTAAATGTAAAAACCTTCTTTTATGTCAGATTGTAAAGACGGAGGTCCAGATACAAGGAGGGCTTGATGCTGGAAGGATCATTAGTTGTTAATATTCATTATTCATAGTTGCTATAATAACTAGTGTGTTGTTAGAACACTACACATCGCTGGATTTCACGTCTAACTGACCGGTGTGTGATTGTGCACGTTCTGGACACTTCCACCCCGGGGCAGCACTCTGACGGGGTGGAAGTGTCCAGAACACACAGGCAGTACTTGGCTGCTGATGCTAGTTTAGTTAGCGCTCACACTTCTGTTTCCTCCATCGGTGGCGGCGGGGGAGTGGCAGATACGCTCCACCGTTACCATCCATGTTTACTTCCATAAACACTGAGCACGCTCGCTGCGTGTGACGTCGTCGTGTCCTCTTCTGCGCATGCGGGACACTTTTGGCTCGTATGAAGTTCACACAGCAGATCACATACAAGTCGCATTGAACTGGAAACGTGAAGGAAGTCACAAAGAAATCCTCATTGAGCATCAAGTCCTGCAGTGTGAACGTAGCCAATCTGTGGGATTGTTCAGTCAGATAATACGCCGTCATCCTGATTGGTGACATTAAATGTCATGTCGGAGTCACAATCCAAGGCTGTCGCTATGTTAAGGCTGTTTTTATGGGTTCTGTTGGTTTTTCCTAAAAACCTGTCGGATAGCAGGTTTAGGATTGTTAAGGGTCGGGTTATCGAGTCACGACTGTATAACTGCTTCCTGTTTTTTTCGACAGGCCTAAACTCTTCTGCTCATATGGATCCTTCTGCAGTCTGATGCTGCAGGTTTTTTAATAAACTCAGATTAAAGACTCCAACAAACAGCTGGAAGCAACAAACTGAACTTCAGCTCCTGCTTATGTAGATAAAAATAAATCTTTATGCACATTTCAGTTTGTAGCGGATGTGAAGTTCGTACAGCAAACAGCGTCTTTTGCTGTCTGTGATGTTTCTGGACCAACATTAAACTCTACATCACATCTCTGTTACTTTCTAGACTTTTATAGAAACGTGAGCAGGGTTTACATTTAGACAGGAAACCGACAGATTAACAGAGTGGCTTAAGTGTCTAAAAGGGACTCGAGGCTTTATTTTAGATTTTAGCTGCCACCAGAACCTTAAATCTTATTGGTTCCTGTTTGACGCCAGCCAAACATAACAAGCTGTTAAATTTCTACGTGTGGCGTAGTGTCGTGCATTGTGTGCCTACCCAGGGAGGTGGTACTGTATCGCGTCCGCTGCAGAGTGGCAAAGCACGGCTTCTCCGACAGCAGGACGCGGTGGGCCGGAGGCACCACGACTTCTCCGTTCCTCTGCAGGGAGGCGCACCTGCGAAACGTCAAATCCAGCTTGGTCTGGATGTTGCTGGAGCTGTGGGCGCGCTTGATGTCGACGGGCTCGTGGCTCCCGGCCTTCCCGTTGACCAGCTGGGCCTTGCAGGCGTGCTGGTCACAGCCGGGCACGGCGTTGCCCCTCCTCTCCTCCAGCGCCACCGCGGTCAGCGTCCCGTTGGAGAGGGACAGTTTGGCTAAGTTACTGCTCGCCAGCTTCCCCAGCTGCCCGTGGCCGTTCAAACACTGGCCCTTGATGGGCGACCTGGTGACGTCTTTCTTCATGAAGCCAGGCTTGAAAAAAGACAAGAGGCTGTCCTGGCTCCGGGCTTCCTGTCCCCGCTGCCCTCTCCGGTCCTCGGCCTGGATCACCATCTGTAACAAGTCCTTCTGGGGCCTGGAGGTCACCCCTGTCTGGACCTTGGTTCTCCTCAGCGTGGAGTCTCTGCTTGGAGGTGCACTGTGGCTGATGTGACCACCCAGGATGGCTCCTCTGTGCAGCTGGAAGTCCAGGGTCCTGCCCTGGTCCGGCCTTCCTCTCTTAGAAGATCTCCGCCTCAGAGAGTCGTCGTCTCTGACGTTGGCGTTGCTGCCGTTTCCGACTCCGTGGCTGATGCTTCTCTCGGCGTACGGCCTGCTCTGCCCTTCGGGTATTTTGGGGGAGTAACAGGCGTCTGAGCTGAGTCTGTCGGTGCAGCTCAGGCTGCTGCCGCTCGGGGAGCTGCAGTCCTGTCCTGCTTCGAACGCTCTTCCCTGGGCGCTCCTTTGCGGCGGCGTGGCCACCAGGGTGATGATCGGGTCTTTGGTGCAGCGAGGCCGGCGCCCGGACTCCAGGTACTCGACCAGCTCTCCGGACTGCGTCTGGACCGAGTGCTTGATGCGGTCTTTGGACCCGAAGGACCATCGCAGAGGAAGAACTTTGTTCAGAGACTCCTTGGGCTTGGTCGGTGACCTCATGCTGACACTCCTGCCTTGGGTCGCTCGAACAAACGGGCCGACCTCAGACCCATCTAAAGAAAACACAGGAGATGTTAGCGCCACCTACAAACATGGAGTTACAGCAGATTGTGAGAACGATTAATGAGGAAATAGTTTGTATATGTGGGGTCATATCATGCCAATTCTTTGAACCCTCAGCTGTCCATTAATGCAAAAACTTCTAGTAAGTTAATGAGATCTTCCAAAATCAGAAACATCTACTTTATCTTTTACTTTAGTTATATTTCATGAAGTTTTAACTAAAAGGCTCATTATTTTTGGAATTCTTTGTAAACCTCACTAACTGGAGATTTTTCTCAAAAACAACTGTTGCTCAACTTTAATCAAATGAATAAATATTTTTCTTTCTACCTGAATAAAAGAATCTTTAATACTCAAAGTTAATATCTCCACTCGTTTGTACTGTCTTCATTCTGTGCGGTGCTATTAAACTCCTACCACACATCACATCTATCACTCTCATAGAAAATCCTTGGAGCTTTTTCATTTGTATTATTCCAGAAGTATAAAAACTCCTTCAGTCCTACATTATATAACAACTATTTAAAATGGTTAACGTATTCAGACTCTCCTCTGGCTCTAACAATGCATTAAGTGGTTTTATTTCAGTGGAAGTTTTTCTTTTTTGTGTGACACCTACACTCGACGGCCTCATATGTGATTTTCAGCACAAAGTTGGACCCAATCTAGTGGATAAAAAAGTGATTCGTGAACCTTCATCTCTTGACGGCGTGCACACAGATGCATAGTTGCTGTAATGATGTGCTTTAGAGCTACATATTGTGCACATGTCTGCTGCTGCTGAACACGCACACTGCTTGTAGCTCAGCATGCACGGGTGAAATGTACACCAACCACCTGGACCTTTGCAAACTCTCAGACCCGAAAAAGTAAAGTCAACGTTATTTGCATAGCACATTTAAACAACAGATGTATGGTGCTGACATTTAAAAGATTCATGAAGTCTGTCTCAGAGGGCCAAACTTAAAAAAAATCATGACTAAAAAAGTCGAGGTAGGAGATGAGAAACTCCTCGACACGAGTCGGTGTGGAATGATAAGCACTGAAGACAGTTAAATATTCAGGATTAAACATTTAAAATATTCACGTATTTAAGATGCTTTGATTAAAAAACGGACAGTGAGAGACAACCTGAGGCAATATTTCTTCCTTAATAAGAGCGAGATCAGAATCTTGATACCAAATGTAAGTAATTCTGCAAATTAGAAAAAGTTCTGCACGAAACCACTCATGAATGGCGTATTGTTGTCTTTATACTTTCTACCTACGCTCTCTACGGTGGATCTCATTACCTTTGGACAGTGTTTGTGCAAAGCTGAGCTGAGCAGCTGCTGAGTTCAGCTTGATATTTACTCACGTTTCACATCTGAGAGCATCTCTGAATCAGATTTTTAGTGAGATGAGCTTTAACATGACGAAGATGAAACTCTACTTTTTCCCCAAATTGTGCTGCACCTCATACATCCAGACCACACACGGAGTCCAAACACCTACTTGTTTCTACTCTTCTTGGGGGTTCTTCTCCAAACACCGGCAACTCAGGAGACTCTGGAGCCTGCGTGGGCCCCAGAGGTCCGGGGATGGGCCCACCCGACACCACGCTGCCCCTCTTGCTGCCCCCCGTCAGGCGGACCAGCCAGTGGTCGGAGGCGGACGAGCTGGTGGAGCCTAGAAAAAGGTGTAAAACGAGTTTGTGTTTGCATATTATCCAACACACCAAGGGAGAGGGAGGACTGCCAAGAGTCTAATGCTCCATGTAAGTCACAGCGGGAGAGGAGCGGGAAGAAAAAGTCCTAATGTGGCAAAATGAGATCTGCAGCCACGGGGGATAATCGGCATAGCCTACAAATAATCTCATTACGCTGGAGCCGCAACCAAGAGCGTTTCTATGATTCCAAGAAACCTTCTTCCCAGCAACAGGTCAGCTTCTCTCCACCATCACTGAAAGCCTTCATTTACTGGCCATTAGCCGGAGCCTGATATCACGGTGAGAGCACCGCTGACGTCGTTGGAAATGGACTTCTGTGGGCCAAATTGTAGATAATGACAGTGAGGTGTAACATCACTCCAACCCTTCCTCCCGTTTTTGAAATTATTTTTAGCAAAGCAGTTTTTTTTTTCCATTTAGGAGGGCTAAATGGAAAAAAAAAAGAAAGTCTACAATCTGAGAGGCTAACCGGTGACCGAGGAGCTGGCCGACCAGGGGGGGATGGTGTTCCTTCTCTGGTAGAAGAGGATGTAGGCTCCACGCGTGCACACCTCCGCCTCCGGGACCGGCTCGGCGCTGCTGTCGTCGTAGCTGTACCACTGGCCGTCCACCGAGTTCCTGCAGAAGGCTGCGAGAACAACGGAGGGAGATGAAAAACTCAGAAAAACGACACAACATGAGAAACACAGTGCCGAGTAGAAAATCAATAAGACATTAGTACGATTCATTACTACAAACAAAAGTAAGGAAGCTAAAATAAGACATAAATATGAAAGTATTCTGAGGTAGTAACACGTGAAATGAGAATATTGGACCTGAAATTGAAAAGAGACGAAGAGGACGACGCTAAAACATAATTTTACACCTTTTCAAACATCACTTATTATGATTATTATCATCATTAAAGGTAAACATGTGGAAATTAGTCATACAACTGGGGGATAAAAACAAAGTTTAAATGAGATGTTTGTTTCAGAATCAAGTCTTTTCACTCCGATATCGTCCTTGGTGTGCTGCCACATGGGGTTACATTCGTGAGATTTGCAGACGACACAAACAGCAGCTTGTTTCTTCAGTAAAACCTAAAACACTCGTGTTCTGTGGACGTGAATTGCGCAGATGATTAAAAACTCTCTAGAAGAACTGGTGCAGCAGAATTTTCTAAATGCCTTTTGTAGGAGCCATTTATGTTGTATGGCAATTTGATGTTGATTATTATTATTATTATTATTATTATTGTTTGGACACAGGGTGCATATGTAGAGGGCACAGGTAGGGGGACAGCCAACAGTTCTCACCAGATCGGCATCAAACCAGCACAGAGACCAGACTCAGAGGATTCATGCATATCATCGAATAAACATCCACTAACGGCAGGTATAAGGACTGCATCGGTTCACTCTGCTCCACCTGTGCAGTAACAGCAATTACAGGACATTGCCGTTACACCTTTAAAAAAGCAAACAAAAAAAGAACAAAAAGACTAAATTGAACTATTCTCGGTGGTGTCGGTGCAATTTCAGAGGAGTCGGATGTCGTAAATTGAATCGATCTGAAGAAGCAGATACCACTGAGATTCTCATTTTCTTTTATTTCAATATCTTCCTTCCCTTAAATTTCAATACTTTGGATGAAATAACATTTTAAATTAGATTAAGAAAAAAACAATCCCACAACACCTTAAACACACAGGCCTATTCCCAAATGTGCTGCACGACTGCTGCTGTTTGTAATTTCTCTCTTGTTGTGATTCATATTTGTGTTTATCTGATGGCTATAAATAAAACCACACATTACTTTGTACTGATCCAAATAAAGCACCTCTACTTTCACAATTAAGCCGACTTTCTGTCAGTGACGTCATTTACTGCAAATGTTGCGGCATTTAAGCAGAAAAGCTAAAAAAAAAAAAAAAGGGGAACTACATTTGTGTTTATGCTAAAAATAAATAAACAAAATGTCTGATTCATCCCGAGCGTGACAGATTTGTTCCCCGTGATTTCACCATAGTTCAGATGTTTGCTTCCAAAAACAAAAAACATTTAAGTTAATAAGGACGATCACACATCAGAAGATAATCAATAACGTGATCACTGCTGCTACACCTGTGGTTCATGATGCACAGCTCGGCTCTCAGTGGGAATCCTGCTGCTGCTATGATAAAGAACATCCTACGCTCAAATCAGAACAGAGTTTGAAAGCAGGTTTCAAGGTTTCTGTGTGAGTTTGTGACTAAAGGAGCTGAACAGGGTGCAACGTGGACGCCAGGATGTCGGTTTGACTCCTGGTTTCCACCACCTGTACGTCTCTGCTGGACTGTGCTGACACTGAGGTTTAGGTCTTAAATCTCTACTGCTTGTCATGTGTTGATATTTCAAGAAGTTCACCCGGAGCCAAGAGGTGTAACTCCCATGTTGGGGTAGAACTGTGCTGCTAGTCTTCTGTCACTGTCTACAAAACCTCAAATGGAATCCCAGAACAAAGCAGAGGGAAGCTTGGAGCTGACTGCTGCTGCTGCAGGACGGTACAAACTGCTGCCTCGTGCACCTTTGGCATCGATTTCCCAAACTGAAATCCCACGAGCTCGTGTGTGCTATTTTCAGAGTGATAAAGAAGTCATCCACGCTTCTGGCTCGAGATGCAACCTTCTGTTGGGGGTAGCGATGCAAAAATATTGCAAGAACAATCCTGCGATGTTTCTGGAGAGGTGGAGAACTTTTAGAAGTTTCAACATAAAGCTGCTTTCTGCATATATACGGATCTATATCTGTCAACACAGGTGTGGGAGACCTTGAATCATGATCGATGTATTTGGGCTTTTTTGACGAAAGGGAGAACAGATTGCTCAGTTTGTTGAAAATCTAAGAAATCAAGCAAAAGACTGCGAGCCAGTGTTTAGTGGATGCACCTCTGGCAGCATTTACAGCATCGTGTGGTTAGACCTCAACCAGACTCTGTCATATTGTGTGATTATACTGTATTCCTGCTGTGTGTTCCTGGGGGGCTGGAGTCTATCCCAGCTGACTCAGGGTGAAGGCAGGTTCACCTGGACAGGTAACCAGTCTATCACAGGGCTACACTTAGAGACAGACAACCAAGCACACTCACATTCACACCTACGGACAATTTACAATCACCAATTAACCTCAACATGTTTCTGGACTGTGGGAGGAAGCCGGAGAACCCGGAGAGAACCCACGCTGCACGGGGAGAACATGGAGACTCCACGCAGAAAGATCCTGGGTGTCCTCACTGGGACGCCAACCGGCGACCTTCTAGCTGTGAGGCAACGGTGCTAACCACTGAGCCACCTTGCAGCCCAGACAGCAGCTTGCTAGCAGCTAATTTGCATCTGTTCCTTTTGTTGGACTCAGTTGGCTGACACATTCAAATGTACATTGACTGTATGATCACTGACATATTAACAGACACTGCAGCACAATCTTCTTCTTTATGTCAACCTTTTTTAAATTGTTGGACTCTCTTCATCTCATTGAACCTTTTCTCTGATTGAATGAAGATGTAAACAGACCTGTGTAATGTCCACCGTGCATTCCTCCGTGGTGGTTGCAGACGGCGTACAGATCGTACAGGAAGTCGGGGGGCGCCAGGTCCGGCCGTCTGGGCTGCTTCCAGCCGGGCTGCAGAGGCGTCTGGTGGCCGCCGTGGCCGCGGTGCACCATGTGAGGCGTCAGGTCCAGGCCCGCCAGGGGGAAATGCACGAACGTGGTGAGCTTGTTCCTGCGCTCGCCCACCTGCCTGAAGCGCTTCAGGTGCAGGATGAGGATGTCCGGCAGCGTCCACAGGCTCATCTTCACCATGCCCTGCTGCAGCTGCTTGCAGTGGGGGCACTTCCACGCATCGTCCGGGGCCAACTGGTGCAGAGGAGGAAGAACGTTAGAGGACAAAACTGATCTTTATTCATCTGAGAGAGCCTCAAAGTAACTTCCAGACTCTTTCTGATGAATCGAAGTCATTCCTTGTCAGACTTTCTAATGCCACTTGACAATATCTAAGAAATTATAAGACCTTATGCAAACATTAATCGGCTTAATTCAGAACCTACAGGTAACTCTTGAAACTGTTGCCATGGCTACAACTTTTGTTCGCATTACCCACTTCCCTGTGATTGCCATCATGAACAGTGGGAAGTCTTCTTCTCCTCGGCAAGGTTGTTCACCTAAACTTTACGCTGAAGTGCTGAAGATTTTCTCTTGTTCTTGGAGAACATAACTGTTAATGTCGCATGAATCACAAGCGTACTGTGAAAATGCTCGAAGCACTTAAGGAGTTTAGCTTGTTATGTGTTGCACGACACGATCAGGGACGTCTGATTCATTCCACAGGTTCTGCAGGACGACGGTGTGCAGTCATAAAAGCCAAGGCCAGGGATAACTATTCGGGGTATCTCTTCACCGTCTGACCCAAACAAAGCTTTTTTAATACAAACAAACTTGTTCCTCCAGTTTTACAGTCGGCGTTTTGAACCAAACATAATGTTTGCGTCCTTTATTCCAGACAAACAAGATTTCCATACCTGTTTAACTGCAGTTACAGTCACTAACAGATGTCTAGAAGCCTTACAGACAATACGAAGGGCGACAAGTTAAAGGACAACACCTGAGCCCTTTACCCCTATATTGAGGGTGGCTCTGGTATGATGAGGGGGGCATTTTGCTGGACCCATAGAGGGAAGTCCATGTTCCATGTCATAAAAAGCTAACTCCAACTATTCATAGCGTCTTCATTTCTTTCTAACTCAAAGCCCTACTGTGTGACTGCTGGCTAAAGGATATTTGACAGAACAACATGTAAAAAAAAAATTCCAGCGGATGCACAAGTTGCAAGAGAAATCCTGCGATAATCATTTAAATATGTAACTTGAAAGACTGATTAGTAACCGATTACTTCGTTTCAGCTGATCACAGACAGGCAGCAGGGCCTATCTTTTGCCTGCAGCTCCACCTGGTGGTGACTCGAGGTAACTGCTGCAGAAAACCACATGTCAGTGGAGCAGCAGTCAGTGGGAACCAACCTGTGGGTAACTTTTCAATGTTTTGATGGCAGTAGTGCAGCCAGACAGCTTTTAAAGGAGTTGCCAGTCTGAGATTATGACTCACACTGAGGTGCCTAAATGCTTTGGTCACTCATTCTCAACATCAACTCCTGATAAAGCTCATAAAATAATTACAGCTTAAATTACACGAGATAAGAAGTGTTCTTGTTCTGCCCTGGACATCCACCCAGCGGAGACGTCACACTGGGACCGTCCAGCATTGGGTTTCTTTCTTTTGGCTGCAGGTTCTGGGTCCGTCGTACATTGTTCAGCAGTTTGTACCATTAATTTCCAGAACTCTTTAATGTCATCTCTTAAGAGTCTGTACAGGAGCTTCAACTAAATCCACAGCTAACGCTAAATTATAAACACTTCAACGAATAAAAAGATGCTTTTTATCTGCATGCACACACTTCTTGGTTGAATGGTTGTGCTATTAAAATACATCTATACTGGAACAACAGCTAGAAAAATAGCAGCTACTAGATGTAAATCGGTTCTATGAGTACGTCGCCCTCTAACAGGCTTTACTATTAAGGGTGGCACAAGAACCAACCCTATGGTGCCTTACAAATTGTTTTCTTAGCTTCAAATTCAAAAAACAACACAAAATAATGTGCAAAACGCCACTATGCTCCATTCTGCTACATCTGCATGTAATGAAAGTGTCCATAAAAGACTGGGTTTCCCATTTTATTACTGAATAACCTGCAAGAAAAGAAATTAAATTCACTGTGGATGGGAAGGTGAGGCCAAAACAGGAGATAGAAACCACTTCAAACCCAACAGTGACACACTAGATTGTAATTCAGGTCACTGTGTAATAATGAGAATATTTAACTGGAAGATTTAACTCTGTTTATTGCTGCTAAATATCGTATAACTAGGATTTGAAACCAGCTCACATCCTGAACACCTGTGTGACAACAATAATCCTGAACAAAAACCGGAACAAAACGACCCAAAAAGCTCTAAATTACCCTGTTCCTTGGCGGGGTTGGCGGGTTTTGGTTTTTTGAGGGGCGGCCCGGGGCCAACGGTTTTGTTTTACGCGTGTTTTGTTTGGTTCCGTTCCACTTGACATGAGAGCCGCACTCCGCTCCTGTCTTGTGTTGCGCTTTCCTTTCCTGTTTACTTCGTGCTGTGGTGGTTAAAATCCCTTTTCTTTTTTTGGTTTCCTGTCCTTACCTTTTCTTTTTTTTCTCTTCCCCGCCCGAGCGTTTTTTTTTTGATCCGACTTTTTTTCCCTTTTTTCCGGCGGTTTTTTACCCAGCCTTACGTTTTGGGCCTTTTTTTCCGGCCAACCAGGTTTTTCCTTCCTTAAAATTAGTAAAAGTCCATTTTGCCACAACCAACAGATGTCTACAAGCCTTACAGACAATACGGAGGGTGGTAAATTAAAGGACAACACCTGAGCCCTTGACCCCGACAGTGAGGGTGGCTCTGTTATGATGAGTGGGGTATTTTGCTGGAATGATTTGGACCCACTTGTCCCCACAGAGGGAAGTCCATGTTCCACTTATCCGGGATCGGGTGGCAACAGGTGAAGCAAGGCATTCCAGACTAGACGTCCTTCTCCCAGTTTCTCCTGGAGAATCCCCAAGGTGTTCCCAGGCCAGATGAGATATGTAATCGCTCTGGAGAGTTATGGGTTTACCCTGGGGTCCCCCCTCCAGTTGAACAGGCCCACAAAACCTCCTAAGGAAGGTGTCTTGATGGCATCCTAATCAAATGCCCGAACCACCTTATCTGGTTCCTTTCCGGATGTCTGAGCTCCTCATCTTATCTCTTAGGCTCAGCCTGGACACCCTACGATGTTGTACCAGATCGTCGTGGTGACCAGGGAGCTGAAGGCAAAGCTCTCGATTTACCAGTCAATCTACGTTTCATCCCTCACCTACGGACATGAGCTCTGGACAGTGACTGAAAGAATGAGATTATAAATACAAGCGGCCTTAGACGACAAGGTCAAATCAATACGAAGCTGCTCCGATCATGAAACACTTCTACCTTGATGGGAGTCGGTTCTTCCAGGAGTTTGACAGATGGGCTTCAGAGTCTCTAGATGTCAACCTATCTGACGCCTGTAGATCCAAACAGCCAATCAAGGATCATGTTCGTCCCTCCAGTAGGGTTTCAGACGCTTGGAGAATCATTGCTAAGGTACATAACAGCCAAACACCTTTCTGAATCACTTCATGTTGTTTTTTTTCCTTTAATTTGTCACCTATCTGTATGTTTAAACTATCTGATAGTCTGCACACTGTTTCTGTAATTCTAGCTGTATCTTACTAGAGTAGATTAAGGATGGCTTCAGGGGAGTCTGCGTGACTTAAAAACAGACCTGCTCCTCTTTGGTGTAGAGCTGGAAGCACTCGTCCAAGGTGCAGCTGTACTGCTGGACGTGCTGCTGCTGCTGATTCCTCACGCTCTCCGCATCCTTCACCACCTCCTCCTGGATGTTACCGAACAGGCTGTGGATCAGGACATAAAGAGTTAGGCTCATGCTTTAGCGACGCAGCGATAACGTAATGCAAAAGTGCACCGACCAGTCCTTGATTCTGTGTTCCCACTCGATGATGAGCTTCACGTGTGGAGGTCCTCCTGAGCCGCAGAGCTTCAGAGCTCTAGAAGACAGATGGAGTGATCGGTCAGCAGATGTTTATGAACAGGTTCAACTGGTTTATCTCTACCATGCTGACTTAAATGAGCAAAGATATTAACAGTTTATCTACAACAACACTGAGTATACGTGTATTGAAGCGATTTAACCACTAGATGGCTGCAGTGATTCATGAGTGGCTGAAAACAGGCTCAGAAAGACTCGGAGAAAGTTTACTACTGAGAAACAATGAATAAGGAATTTCAGCAAACCAATCAAGGCTTTTTCTGGAGTTTTCAGCTGCATCACATCACACTGTGAGATTCAGCTGAAAGTTCAGGATAAAAGTGTTTTTTCTTTGGTGCTACTGGGGCCACACGAATGAGTTAAATCCTGCAAGGGGGGCTCCTCAAACACTCCACCACACTCAACCAGAGGACGCGGCGCCTATTTATACCTGTTTTCACTGAGCTGTGAACACTATTCAGCTGAGTATGTCAGAACAAGCCCTTCTAAGACACTGAATACGTAACACTGCTGCCTCATCAATCTGTTGCAGTGATGGTAGTCTGTCATTCAGAGGTTTTATGCTGATGTTCCTCATTGCTTTATTCAGACAAACCCACCACGGTGACGAGGAGAGCCACGTTCAAGTGGGACCCAGTGACATGATGCACTAATACACAAAAGGCTAAATTTCTATCAGCTGTGTTACAGATGATGCAACTGCAGCAGAATAACTGAGACTCTGTATAATGGAAGTTACTTGTATTGTTAAAGGTGCGTAAACGTGCACAACTCTCTCTTTTTGTGGTGCTGCAGATATTCAATGAACTCAGAGGAGAGACTCCTACAAACATCTGGAAGTGACGAATTAAATTCTGTCCTGTTAACGTTTTGTTAAAAAGCTGGACTACATTTATTATTGGAGAGTCTCAATAATCTCACCTGTTACAGCCTCTGGCTTCAGTTTTATTTTACGGACACTTAGGTTGTTGGGTGGCCTTACTTAGGTACAGGGTTTGAAACTAAATGCTGATATAAACCTGCTGCAATGCCAAAAAATAATGCTGATAGTAAATTCACCATGTTCTACCAGGTTCAAGTTTAAGTTTAGCATGTTAGCAGAGTAATGAATCCAATAGTTGTCGAGACATTTCCAGCTCATGGTGACACGAAAGTAAAAGTCGTGGGATCATCAAAGATTGCAGGGTTCCATCCATTTGATAGTGGCCGAGACATTTCAGTCCTTTCTAACCAGGAAACCAACACTCACGCCACTAAAAAACTGCTGACAAGACAGTTTTTGAGTATGCATTATGGATTGTGTCATTAAGTCTCTCAGTAGGAGAGACACAGTAACGTATGTGGCATTATACACCGACGTAGACGGTTTACCGAGGCCAATAAAAGTGAACAAAGTCGACTGAAACTCCGGCACTAGTGCATTCTTGCACTGTTTGATGTGGGTTGACTTGGGGACAGAGCATATTTCTGAATCATTAGAGTTCAAACACTATCATTACACGAGTTTCTAGGATACAGTGCGCTGCGCATTTGCATATCAAAAGATTTCAAAAGCATTTGCCCCCATCAGCACCATTCAGCAAATGAATGAACTGTTCTTAGCAGCTACACAAATGGAAGCCTTTTCAAGACCTTGCCAAAATGCCCCTTTGAAACAGCAATTCACTTCTGCTGCTGAAAGCCATCAGGCACGCATTTCTAAGGAAGGAGAAAATGTCTGCACATGTCAGTCGCTGCTGGAAAATCCAGTCTAACCTTTACAGTTGCTTAGATATAAAAAGAACATTAAAAAAACAACAACTTTGACTTTAGAGCATCTGAGAAATCGTCAATCGCCAAAGAATGCTGAACTTTAACAGACACGCTGGAGTGTACCGCGGTGTGTTTGTCAGAGCGTCTTCATTACCTGTCTGTAGCGTCTCTCAAGAACACTTTGGTAAATTAGATTAAGGCAGATATAAATCGCATTAAAGCTGATTACATTAGATCACGCTCGAATGAGCTCCTGAGAACATTAGGGCATTTCAGTGTAGAACATTTTCAACGTTATACGAGTCGATCCACAACTAAATAACACATCTAGAGGAATCTAATTAGTCTCATAACAGAAGAATGTGATTAGAAAACAGTGAGTTGACTTAGACAAGATTTGTTATCTGCAGAAAAGTTGCTATGGGCGATTAAAACATGGAACCTACATGGAATCTGTATTTACAGTCACTTCAGATTACTTTCTTTTGCACTTGTACATTTCATATCGTGCTAAATTGTTCATGTAGTTCAGTGTCCCACTCCTCCTAGCAGATCATGTCAGGTTTCCTCAAATTAGATGGGAAGCATCTGTGGGTTGCCATCTCCCAACAGATGTTCTGTTGGGTTGAGTGTCTCTCAGTCAACGATTTAACCCCAAAAAAACTCATCTCTTGGTGACAAAGTGAAGCTTTTTAGTCATTAAATAAACCCCTCCTAGTTTAAAATCTGAAGAAAAATGATGATACAGCAAGTCGACAGGATCGTCCTCCTAGATCTGTTGTGTAAGAAATCCTGGAATCAGAGTTTTTGAGATTGTCATCAGTAGATTGTAGTTTCAAGCTGGAAATGCTCATTTCACTCACGATGTGTGACAGGAAGAACATAATATTTTCTTTGGAGAGGGTCTTTGAGTCTGGTCTTTAGCTGGAGCAGTCATGGAAAGTCAGGGACTTTTCCTGAAGCCAATCCAGTGTTGTCATGACTGTTTGCTTTGGTTCACTGTAATGCTGTTAAGTGAGCAGGTTTTCTTTATTTGACAGTATTCTTCCTTTCCTCAGTGCTCACCAGTCTTCCTGTTTGTGCTGCTGAGAAGCTCCCCAGAGCATGATGCTGCCACCACCATGCTTCACTGTAGACGTAGTGTCCAGTGTTTACCAGAAGTAGTTTCGTTTTTGACTGAATCCTTCTCTTGGCCCCAAACAAACAGGCCGTAATACCTTTCACTGACAGTCATTTCCGTCTACTTGCTAAACCTTAGCACCTGATTGATGAACCTACTTTCTCAGTTTGGCTGAACTCAAAAAACATTCCTGGCGATTTTAAACCTCCCCTGCTTCATGATTATTGGGGTCACGGTGCTCCAGGGGGCACTCAGAGCTTCAGGAGTGGTTTTAAACCTTTGCCCTAACCTGTGCACCACCTGGGTTTTATTGTGGAGGTTTACAGAGACTTCCCTGGACTTCGCGGTTTGTTTTTGTGTCCTGGCATGCAGAGTGAATGGTGGGATCTTATCTACCCAGGTGTGGGCCTTTTTAAACTCTGTTCAGTCCTTCAGTGTGCTGCAGGTGGACTCTAATGTAGCTTCAGTAGACACAATATAGGTTATTAAAGAGAACAGGATGCACTTGACCACAGTTTATCACAACAAAAGGTTTAAATACTTTTGTAAATAACATTTTTTGACTTTAGATTTCCAATAAAGTTGCCTGAAACTCTAAAATGTATGTTTCTCTTTGTCATTAGGGGATGCTAATGGTAGACAAAAAGTCACTTTCAATCATTTAAAAATAATCGAACAGCACTATACAGTATGCAAAAGAAGAAGAGGTCTAAATACTTTCTGAATCAAGTGTACATCTACTGTAGAAATGTGTCCAAGAGTCTAAGAGGCTCTGCAAAGCTGCACGGAGGGGTATAGGATTCAGCAGGAAGTGTAATCAACACTTCATAATGAATAATTTAAAGATAATTACATATATGTGATAAGCTCTGGCAGCCGAGGAAGAAATCAGTCAACACATCCGGCATATAAGAGCAGCTCTTGTTTTTGTAGCTGGACACCATACGTGACGTCAGCCCTCCACCAAAGTTAACTCTCACCTGTCGACGGCCGGGTGGTAGAGCGGACGGCCGTCCTGAGGCGACAGGTAGCTGTAAAACGCAGATCCTCCAACCACACGGATGTTGAACAACACTCTGGTATTCTGAAAGACAGGCAGGAAAAAAACACACACCGTAAAGAACATGGAGTGCTTTTATTCTTTTCACAAAAGGCTGAAGACGACAGCAGAGTTGCATTATTGGCTAAACAATACTGGCCTTGTATGTCAGACACGACAACAGTTTAGCCTGAAGATGATGATCCCCACTCACATAAACCAGTACGTTGGATTGTATTGTGATTTTTCCATGCAGTTGCCATGGTTCTATGGAGGACTGGGCTGGTCGTATGATTGTTCCACCACCTTCCCCAACAGTAAAGCATCTGAATAACTAGTGGCTTTATTGTCATAGAGCGGACAGTCGTGGTTCCCAGAGGATGAACACTTCTTTCTAGCACCTGATGACGCCTCTGTGTTTTTTTTTGTAGAAAAAATATCCCCCCCGAGTCTAAAAAGTGAAGCCAATGAGGAAGTGCCTTCAACCTGCAATCTGTTCGACAGCCAGCAGGGGGCAATACCTCTGGTCACAAAAAGAGTGATGATGGCGTGACTTCTCACCTGATTTATTACCTCAGTAAACATCTCCCCTGTTGAGTTTATGGGCTCAGTTGCTAGTTTCAGGTCTCTTTTAAAACAACATGATGCTAGTTTAGTAAATTCTGGTTCTACTTAGCATAAAACTGATGACAACGCAGGGTATGCTTTAAGACGTGGCTACCTTGTGGCTCCCAAATTGAGCATCCAAAATGTCCTCGAGTTCTCACTCAGATCCACCTCTTGCTAGTCACAAGTTTTTCTCAAAAGGTCAAGAAGTTGATGGCCAAATTGTAGAATCGCTAACAGTGTCTGAAATGTTGTCATAAACATTCGTGCTGTCTCAGGAAGATCCCAAACGTCCCGGTGCTCCATCACAAAGACTATAAAGATGGACCACCGTGACGTCACCCATTGGTTTGTGGACTAATGTTTAGAAACTGGCCATCGTCATCCAGTTCTTTTGAAACCAAATGTGACGAACAAGGGGCTGGTGTGACTGAGAACTCAAAGACACACATTCATACAGTAAAGTAGCCCTGCCATAAAGCGTCTATTTTCTTCTTAATAGGACCGTAACATACATAAAGTGCATCATGTTGTATTCAGAAACTCTGGGAATTAGCAACTGCAACCATTAACTCATTAGGAAAATGTTTAAAAAGATAAGAGATCAGGAAAGATTGGGGTATTATCTCAAAACTTCCAGACTTATTTTTGCAACTGGAGGAGTCGCCCCCTGCTGGCTGTTATAAAGAATGCAATTCCCGTCCATGTTGGCTTTCATTTTTCAGACCTGAAGGCGACGTCCATCTTTTATATACAGTCTGTGGTGAGTGATTGGCTTTCCATTGGCTGTATTTTCTTCCAACATCAGATGAGCTGAGGACGGTCTACGTCACATTTATCTTCCCCCCGTGACAACATCCAGCGACCAGGTACCGTGTTCGGTCCAACAATTCATCTTTCTCCTTCGCTCTCACAATACCGCCACAAGAACTCCTGTGAAAGCTGGTACCTCTCTAGATGCACCATCAATCAACATGTTTTTAAAAAACCTCTAAAATTCCCCGTGTTGATGTTTTTGTGAAAGTCATTTCTTACATACTGATTGGAGTTGAAACGGCTCTCGAGCAGTTGTTCAAAACTATTTGAAAATGCCGAGATAATATATTTCTTTACGCTCTCAGGGTCATGTTTAAGGCGGACGTGTTTGCTGTGTGTGTGGGCTGGGGAAGCAGAACAAGAGAACAAAGTGGGCCATCGTGAAATATAGGCCGAAACCTGCACCTGACATTTTGAGCTCAGCTTAAAACAACAAGAAGCGTTTGGACACACACAGCGCTGCATTTAAGTGTTTAGACTCTACTGTACAAATATGAACATACATAATCATAAAATAACAGCATATCCTGCTAACTGGATTTGAGTTGGAGGGTAAAAGTGAAAGAACAAACAGCCGTGTCTCCGCTGCTCTGAGTATATTGCTCTGAGATCTGCTTCCACTGGAGGTGCTTTAGGAATGAAGGGGCGCTTTGCAAAAATGAAATTGATTTCCTCTTGTTCTACAGAATCGTGGTGTGTAGCTGCCGGCTGAGCTCAAACACAAACACCCACTCCGACTCCTGCGAGGAGGAAAGTTGAGGCCGACAGGATCTTTTTGATGACGAGGAGCGCGGCGAAGCAGACGGCGCATTCCTGGAAAATATTGATATGCTGATCGCAAGAAGCCCCCGGAAACCCCCGGGGAAATTTAGACAATACGTGTGAGTTACTGCCTCATATATGCAACGTACATCTGAAAATGTCAGCTGCCTGAAATGCAGCACTTAGCTCTAACGGATAGAACTACCTGGATGTCTCGTTTATTACAGTTCATAGCTTCGACTGTATTTTCTCTCCTCTCCTGCGTCTCAGCATCGTGCTTGTGGACACTGCAGGCGTCAGACTTCCCTGTGCTGCTTAGCTTCTTTTCTTTCTTTTCCAGAGAACTTTTTTTTTTTGCAAGTTTCAGTCTCCTGCATAAAAAAAAAAAAAAAAGGAATGCGAGATGACAAGCGTAAACTCAAAATGAGTTTTCTTTTCATTACAGACTTGCTCACTGTGAGTTCCAGTGGAAGGCTTGTGCGTACATGTGGAGACCACCCAAGGAGTCCTGCCGACTCCAGCTTCTCGTTTCAAGAAGTTCCTTTACAAAATGATGCATGCGTGTGCACATGCTTCAAAGGCCCATCGACCGCCTGGGCAACATCACGCGGCCTGGGCGTTAGGTGTTGAACTGACATAAAGCTGAACTCCTTACCTGTCAAGCTCAGAGTTTCTAGAGGTAGAGAGTAGAGGTGCAGCATGAAGAGACTACGCTGAAGGCTCCACGCTGCGTTTCCACAACAATACTGGTTCTTTATTTCTATCTTCTGCATCAACTGGAGGATGTGATTCATCTTCATCATGTATGTAGCATCGTGTGCATCACTAAGAACCTTTATTGAAATCGAGCAGAAACGCTGCGAGCCTCAGGCTGTTTTCATACTAAATTTCACTCCCCTTCCTTTTAAACTCTTATCTCGGTCATTATGAGGACTAGACGCCGCGTCTCGTCTTCCATCATTTGATACGATAACACCTCCAGATTGTTTCATATCAGCTTTTATATCGAGGGCTATATGAGAAGCGTGGCGGTGGGATGCTGTACGAGTCAGGCATCGGGGAAATATGTGTATTTGGATATTATATTGTTCTGTATTATCACTGCTATTACATCTGCTGGCTTATTGCTGCAACTTCATTCTAGAGGCTTTTTGATCGGAGCTGCAGTGAATAAAAAATCTAAATAAATTACAGTAAATAACATTTCCCCCACTCCGCTGCAGACTCTACAGCGGACGTCTACGTTGGAATGAGAGCGGCCGAACTTTGTTCCATTGCTTCGGCATGTTTTGAGTCGTGTCTAACATCAACTTTATGAACCCCAGGCTATTTTCTGGGTAATTTCACTACATTTGCTTTAAGCTCTTATCTTGGCCATTATAAGGACTAACGAGATATGTGCAGAGGAGATTTTTTAGAATCCATAAATAACATGATGGTGGAATAATGCATGACTTAGAACTGGGGAAAATATGTTAATATAGTCGTGACTCGATAATCTGACACTAAATGTAAAACCTTCTTTTATGTCGGATTGTCAAGACGGAGGTCCAGATACAAGGACAGCTTGAGGCTGGAAGGATCATTAGTTGTTATTTATTGTTCATAGTTGTTATAATAACTAGTTGGGCTGGTCCCAATAGCACTTTCTGCTCTCTGGATATTCAGGCCCAATTAATGATGAATATCAGAACATTCATCCCGGTCGGGGGACACTTCCACCCCGGGGCAGCGCTCTGACGGGGTGGAAGTGTCCAGAACACACAGGCAGTACTTGGCTGCTGATGCTAGTTTAGTTAGCGCTCACACTTCTGTTTCCTCCATCGGTGGCGGCGGGGGAGTGGCAGATACGCTCCACCGTTACCATCCATGTTTACTTCCATAAACACTGAGCACGCTCGCTGCGTTAAAAACCTAAAAACCTGTCGGATAGCAGGTTTAGGATTGTTAAGGGTCGATTACCGAGTCAGGGCTGTATGTAAATGTTCGCCCTCCAACAATGGACCCAAATAACCACATCTTTTGGGCCCTTCAGCGTCTCGGATCCAGATTTTTCTTTGGTGCACAGAGAAACTCCTAATATCACTGTAAAGAGTCAGTTCTGCTGTTTATTTTGACATGTGGTTCACCTACACTATGAAACAACAGCGAGTTCAAGGGATGTTATAACTTCAATACTAACGTCCAGCTCTGCCATTTCTTGTGATATAATATTAATAAACCATTGCATCAACGTATCTATGCAACGCCGCGCTCACGAGTATTTCAAACAAGAGTAATGTGGAGCCGGACACAAAGCCGTACGATTAAATCTGATGTAAACTCAAGATTATGTTTAATCACTTGCATCTAAAAAGGTCGAGCCGTGTGGTTCCGCCGCCGTAATAAACACTTTGAGAGCAATTCGACCGGGAAGGAGCGAATTCGGATGCAAATTGCGTCCCTCTAAGTGTTAAAGGACTCTGCTGGAGGCCGCGTTTCGACAAACTCATAAAGCTTTCATTCGTCTAATTATCCAGCCAGATCGCTACGGCTGATAAAACCCGCCGAACAAAACCGACTAAACAGATGCTGCAAATTAGACGTCTGCTTCTGTCGGCTTCTGTCTAGAAATAAAGTCCAAAACTGTTTCGATGGTGATTCTGACACATTTCCTCTGCAGAGGCGTTGCAGCAGTAGTGGACCGGGTCGGGACTAGTTACGGGTCACATGAAACTTCTTAGTGCAGTAAAACGTCTCATGTACGTCTGTGTGTTTATTTCCTGACCGGCAGATGAAGACGAATATGTGAGAGTAACACCCAAAGCAGGCGGACGTAAACACATGACTGGGTGTTTGTGAACGACACTAAGCGTGACCGA